AAAAAAAAAAAAAAAAAAAAAAAAAAAAATCTATGCAACAAGATAAGTAAACCATTTTATAGAATCATCACCATTTTTTACCTTGAAAAGAACTTTTAAAGCCTATCCTTCAAGACTAGAACTAAAACCCAAACCTGTCTTAAAAAGCTTTGTTAAACCGATATTATACCTTCAATGTGGATTCACAGTCACCAGCCACATTTCTAAGAATCCAACAATGGTTTCCAGTACAAGCGGCCTGCCCCCACAATCCTGTAATATAAAATTACATCAATAAACAATTTAAACAATAACAATAAGCAAACAAATCATCATCAAGATTTCTCGAATGATGATAATAAAGATAGTTAACAAAAAGGTAGAATTTTTCAAATCTCAGTAGCAAAAGGAACAATTTACAGACCCAACTCCTATAACATGGACCTGTGGTACCATGGACTTGATAACCAGCTCATCTATGCTGCCCTCTCCCAGTGATTGGAATTCAGCCAAATAACTGAAATGAGAATTTACATCATTGCTCCCTGAAAATTGCAGCTTCCCAAGCCCATGCCCATCATCCCAGACCAAATGCCTGCAATAACTCAACCAAAAGACAGAGTGCAGAAGGATCCAAGTTGAACATCAAAAACAGGCATCTTTGATCGTGTTTCCAAGAGAAAAAAAAAATAGACAGAGAGGAATCAAAGCAAGCTCCAAATAAAGTGAAAAATACTCAAATTAGCAGAAACATAACAAAAAGGTAAGTAAAATAGATCAATACAAGAAAAAAAGTGTGCAGACAAACAAGTGAGTTCTTTTTTTTTAGAGTTTATGGATTTTAAGCGAATTTAATCTCAGACTCCCACACAGAGCCATTTGGCAAGGTGGGCTGCTCGAAAATCAAGTGAGTAATTGTGGGATTTCAAAACAATGATCCGATGGAAAATCCACCGTCCTCCATCAAAACCACAAAAAACAAAACAAATCGAGACCATCCTAAAACGAACCAAAATCAGTAGAAAAAAAATGCAAAAAACAATAAAAATACTGAAGTGACTGAAACTTACATAGGACTTGGAAAGCCGACCGCCCTCCAGAAGACAGCATACGACCACCCAATCTCGTCGCAAAGACGCCTCAACGCCTCTCTCATCTCAAACCCCATCAATCCGATTCAATAAAACAGCACCACAAACACCTGCGACGAAAACCCCAGCTCAAGATCAATCGCAGCGCCTTAAAACCTACTACAACAATCTCCGACCGTTTAAAACAAGTTCACACGCAGCTTTCATCCTTCCGTAGCACCAACCGACCTAGCTTCCACGACCAGACGCTCTCCCGGCCTGCATCGTCCTCAGCCCCCGCCCCCTCCTCTTCCCTTCCGGCTCCAATATCCCGCTCAACACTACTGTCGGACTCCAGCTCGCGCCCATATCAAGCAGCCCGAACACAGCGAGCGCTTTGCCGGAGCGGAAAGCGAGCTGGTAAAGCGAGCCAAAAGCTCCTCTCTAAACCCTTGTTGAAACAGAAAGCTCCACTAACGCAGACAAAATGATTCCGCCATTAGAGGTCATAAAGGAATCCGATGGGCAACCAGAGCTTTTCGCAAATTTGGAGGAGAAACGAAAATCTCGACCTGCTCCTTCACTTGCAGGTTTGTTCTCTAGTTGTCTGGTTCCTCTGATACTACATCACTTCCATCTAAATTCCCTCGGGAATCTACGAAAGCGTTTCCCTTGGTTTCCCGACCTCGTTTCTCAAAATTGCACGGAAAGTTTCCGATGATACTTGCGTTGCCACTGCACATGTCAGCCTTTTTTTTACTTCTTTATTTTCGTTTGAAATA